CCTCGAGCCGGTCCTCGAGGCCAAGGACCGGCTCGAGGAACACATCACTGCTTTTTACTTAGCTTTGTCCCGGCTTGTATCTTGAATTTGTTGAGCGAGGTTCTGGAGAGTGGATTTTCACTCCTCTCCCATCCCTCTCCCAAAGAAAAATCCCACCCCTGTCCCGGAACATAGTAAAAGAGTCCTGTCCCGTTCAGCCTAACTCCCATTCCTGTGCCGCTCCTATTTTGGATGTCAGCTACATTCAATAAATAAACACAGTTTGTCTCCCCTTTTCTTCTACATTATATATTATTACTTTATATTATAGTATGACAAAATTTGTATTCAGACATGACTCCTGACCACCCCTGGCTACCATATAGCTTTGCCACTGATTTTGATTGGTTTAGTTTGCTGTCCGTATTGTAAATGGATGAATGGGCTGCTAAATTGTCAGGCAGTCTCTTGGGGTCAAGTGGAGAAAATTAATAATCAGCACTAGAAAAGCTCCCAAAAAAAAAAGATGCCGGCCCACCGGGCGTCCGCCATGCCTGATAGGTGGCCATGCCTGCCAGGTGGCCATGCCTGCCAGGTGGCCAGTCCAGCCCTGCCTCAAGTTAAAATGGGATCAAATCATCAGGCTCTTTTGAAGACGTCAGCTGTGCAGTTACAAACACACCGGAAGCAAGTCAGTTGAGGTGTTGCATACAAGACAGACAGCTTTGACGATCAGACTTGAAGTTCTCGGGTTAAAATACATTTGAAGCTCGGAAGTGATGATCATTCTAAAAAGCCCACTTTCTGAACTTATTTTGTTCTGTGGTCTTGGTGTCATCGCTGACTCATTCTGTCCTGGTGATCTCTGCAGATATGAAGGCTGGCTTGGGACTGACGGACTCGTTGCTATCTAGTTCACTTTCCTCCATCACTAACCTCTGCTTGAAAGATTGCATAGATGAAAATGGAGGTAGGTACATTCATTTTAGTTGTGGGATTGCACAAGCGTAATCTGCTGCAATTGTCACACTTCTGTTTTCTTATGCATGTCTTTTAGGGATCGAGCTGGCCAAGCTAGATACAGAAATGATCAAGTTATTGGCATGGCAGAGGATCCAGCAGCTTTTCCCTTGTAAAGCCCCCAGTCCTCTACCTACAGACACCAGCGATGCTCCCAAGCCCCCTCCATCTCTCCCAGACTGTAAGACTTAAATATTGCTATCAAGTTTGATTTAATTCCACAGTTTTAATCTTGATTTCATTGTTTTTGCAGATCAGAAAAGTTTGAGAGCCCGGGCAGTCTTCTATCCACTGACGGGAAAAGGAAGGGCTGTTAACATGTGCTATAGGACGTTATACATAGGATCAGGTAAGTCAAATGTTAAGACAACAACTGTTACTCAAAACAACTTTTCCGATTCACGGACCATGTCAGTAGTCTCCTGAGCACTGACTCACTGAAGGTTAATCACTCTCAAAACAATACTCACAATCTCTCTCGCTCTCTCTCTCTCTCAATCCATCCATCCATTTTCTAATCTGCTTTATCCTCACAAGGGTCACGGGCGTGTTGGAGCCTATCCCAGTTGTCTCTGGGCAGCAGGTGGGGTACACACTGAACTGGTTGCCAGCCAATCACACGGCACACAGAGACAAACAACCACTTGCGCTCACAATCACACCGAGAGGCAATTTAGAGTGTTCCATTACCCTGCCATGCATGCTTTTGGAATGTGGAAGAAAACTGCAGAACCCTGAGAAAACCTATGCAGGCAGGCAGGAGAACATGTCAACTCCACACAAGAGAACCTCTCTCTCCAACTTCGTGCTAAAGCTACTTACGGAAGTGTAGTGCTTTCGCTGCCGTGGAGGCAGTGATTATTCACTTATGCCGTATAGACACTGCATCTAAAGCAAACCTTTGCCTTGGCGTCATGTTTAGCCTACTTATCTATCTAGCCACAGCTTGTAAGTAGCGAAAGCTTCCCAAAATAGTGTGCAGCGAGAATTCCCAAATACCAAGAGTGGAAAACAGCAAGGTGATGTGGGTGTACAATTTGGGGCATTCCCGTCACACTGGGCAGTGCGCAAGGAAGGGGACAGAGTAGTAGTCGAAATTTCCTTGCATTACCGCAATTGGATGGCATATGCACACACGCATGCCCACTCTGAAACAACAACATAAAAATGCACCAGCTAGAAGACTGGTAGACCCCTGTGTTTGGAAAACGGAAATCGCTGCCTGCCTACCATTGTACTATTCAGTAGCTTGCGTGTACCGTTTTGAAATGATGCTGCTGGATTTCTTTGTTTTGCCACTGCCATTGTTGCAATGCAGATCAAACAAACAAGATTTGAATGAGCTCAAACAAATGAGAGAGAGAGACAGAGAGAGAGAGAGAGAGAGAAACAAGAGACAGAAAGACGGTCCAGTGGTTAGTGCGTCGACCTCACGGTGCAGAGGTCGTGGGTGCGATCCCGGGCCTTCCTCTTCTCCCCGGGCCTGCGTGGGTTTTCTCCAGGTACTCTGGTTTTCCCCCCCACATTCCAAAAACATGCATGGCAGGCTGATTGAACACTTAAAATTGTCCCTGAGCGCGAATGGTTGTTCGTCTATGTGTGCCCTGCGATTGGCTGGCAACCGGTTCAGGGTGTCCCCCGTCTACTGCCCGAGGACAGCTGGGATAGGCTCCAGCACCCCCCGCGACCCTAGGTTCAGAAAATGAATGAATGAATATATATATGTACACACACACACAAATTTTAAAGGCTCTGATCGCTAGCTGCCGACGGCTGTCAACTTGTTGTCATGCAGGTCATGTGCCACCATGAGTTAAAAGTGACCTACTTTTGACTTTTTTTTTTAATATAGTTTTTTGTGGAAGTGAGACTGATAGGGTACACATGCTGTAGCTTATATGAGCACAAAACAGAATAATACACGCTCACACCTTTTTTCGCCCCCTCCCTGCAGTCTGGTCTACCAGTCGACCATACTGATGTAGACGTTTATCACAAAGAATGCAATCAATTATTTCAGTATTCTTACAGTATTTTCAAAATGTAAATGTAGAAGGCAACTTATCATTCAGCATTGATGCTTCACACACACACACACACACACACACTTTCATTAGTGATTTGTCTCTCCTTGGTGTAAAGGGGGGATAGCAATACGGCCAGGTCCATAAATACTGGGAGATCAAGACAATTCTCATGTTTTTGGCTCGAAACAACACTGCAATGGATGTGAGATTTATTGATGTGCCTGAACTACAGATCCTCTGCCCTAATTTGTGGCTATTTGCAGTGAGGTTAATGATTATTTGAGCATCCTCTGATTTTGCAAGTTCTGCCAGCTAGAAATTAAGAAGGGGTCTGAAAATTTCCTCGTAAGTCCATGCGAGAGACAAAAATATATATATACATCTAGGAACCACGCGATTTTTACAGAATTTATCTGTTTGTGAATGCTAAAAATAGGTATTTGAACATGTGCCATTCAGCAAGAATTCTGGCCCTCAAAAACCTGTTACTCTGCCTTAAAAATGTAATCAATCTATTTATTAATTTAAATTTGTACTGCTCTTTTGGGGTTGTCAGAGATTTTCTCGGACAAGGTTAAAGAAACGACTCGGCACACAGGAAAATTGTCTTCAATATCGACGGAAGCGGATCTCTGAGAGCGAACGACGGTTTAGTTGCTCCGTGATCACGCTCAGAGCCCCCCCTCCTCGAGTTCGAACCTTTATTGTGACATATGCAAAATACAAGAATAACACTGCCCCCGATATTTGCATACCGCACCCCTGGTCCGGCCCCTCGGTGGTGATTGGTTACCTGGGTGTGCGCTTTGAACCAGCGGCACTTTGGCGCCTTTCGGTCTGGTCTACACTGTATCAACATATCGCAGACTTTGCGGACGACAAATGTCGCCTGGGCGCGACGGGTGTCCTCAAATCGTCTTTTGTTGTTCAACCGCTGTTCCCAAATTACTCGTTCCCCCTTTGTGACCGGATCTGGCTCTCTCTCCTCTGATCGCCCACCCGCCTTGATGTGTTAATTGTGGTGTGGGCTGCAACAGCCCTCCGCCCAAATGGCCGGCACCTTCTGAACAGGAATTTGGGGGTGCGAATTACGCACCCAGACGCTTCAACGTGCACAGATCAAATGAAACTTTAAACATGATACAATTTCGCCCATAGATTCCTCTAACAGGGGTCGTTAGCTCTATAAAAGTACATATTCACCCCACAATCAGTCTGACCCCAACAACTACGATTGGCACCAAGGACAAAATTGTAGCCCTCCACAAGGCTGGAATTGCTTATGCGGCAATTGCCAAGCAGTTTGGTGAAAAAACATCAACTATTAGAGCAATTGTGAGAAAAAGGAAGAGGCTAATGATGTCTGTCAGCCTCGCTCAAGTCATGAGGTCAGATGAGACCAAAATAGAACTTTATGGCCTTGGCGCCACTCGCCATGTTTGGAGAACAAAGAAGGACGAGTCCCATCCCAAGAACACCACCCCGACTGTGAAACATGGAGGTGAAAGCATCATGCTTCGGGGGTCAAGATGGCTGCATTGTATTAAGGAGAGGGCCATTTGTAGTGAGATTTTGGCCAACTATCACCTTCCCTCAGTCAGAACAGTGAACATGTCGTGGCCGGCGGGGTCTTCCAACATGACAATGATCCAAAACGCACCAAATGGGTCGCGTCGCGCTTTAGTGAATGGAGGCGATCGAGGAAGAAAAGTGCAGAGTGTGCAAAATCTGCACACGCCGTTATTTATAAAAAGCAAATAGTAGTTAGATGGCCGTGAACGTGGCACATCCAGACTCAGATTTTCAACCCGATGCGTGTGACAGACGGGATTCTGACTTCTTTGCGACTAAGACGGCTGACGCACTGTGCGTCCTACAGAGGGTCGGAGCCCCCCACCCCGAAATTCACAATACAATATTGTTAACGGTACTTGGGGGGGCAACATTACTTCAGGCTGTAATTGACTGCAAAGCATTTGCAACTAAGCAATAAAAAGTGCAAGTTGGATATCTGATTATTTTGTCCCATTCATTTGGTCCCCTAAATAGCAGGAGGCATATACAGTGATCTCTCGCTCTAACGCGGTTCACTTTCCGCGGCTGTTCGCTGTTTTACTTATTTTTTTAGTGCAGTTTTTTTAAATGCTTTTAAACAGTGAATTGTGTTCTGCATCCTGATTGGCTAAGGCACTGACCGACGTGAACAGTCTCTGCACCTCGTCTCTGTACAGCTTGCCAAATTTACCTTTGCAAATTATTGGTCTTTGGTTTCATTGTATCAGTAGTGGATGCTGGTCTGTCAAGGAGGGGAAGCTCAATTTTGGCCTACATCATAAAATGTGTCCCTTTATTTATACGTGAATTCTACTCTCCGTTCCTTTTCAAAAAAATGAAAAGGAAAAGGATGACTTCACCATAAGATCATTGGCTCATTTCGCTGTCAATCAAAAGGAGATTCAGTCTCACCGAGATCATCCAATCATGAAGAAAAGCTGAGCTTCTGCACGCCCACTGTCCATAGACTCCCAGAGACGTTGAGCGTCCAATGGGCGGGACAAAACTAGCATTTATCCAATGACTCGTCTCGTTTCAATGCATTGGGACAATCTAACATGAACTCTCTAGACGCCCAGCGTCCGCGCAGTCGACGCTCAGCGTCCACACAGTTTAAAGCACAGTGAAGCTGCGGGAATGAATGAGAAGAGAGTCGCGTCGTAACCAGTAATAAGAAGCTGATTCGGAACAAAAGTTGAGCGTGTTGTAGCGCATATGTAGTCAGTGACAGGTCCACACAATTGTACGTACACACATATATTTGATCACTTACCTCTTGACAATTTAGGGGAAGCTGAGCTTCCCCTGCAGTCTTAGAACAATCGTCTCTGCATTGTATACATAGTTCAGTATTGTATAACTGTAAAAAATAAAGCTGACTACCAACTACCAAGTACAACTTTGTCACATGTGCTATATGTGAAACATCCAACACATTTGAAATTTCGTCCCTCTCACATTTTTTTGCTTTTTTTTTTTTTTTTTTTTTATAAATCCTACTTCACGGATTTCACTTATCACTGGTTCTTTTTGGAACGTAACCCCCGCGATAAACGAGGGATTACTGTATACAAATTTATACAAATTCCGACATCATCTTGATCGTTTCATTACAAATCCATTGTGGTGGTGTATAAAACCAAAAAAAAAAAAAGAGAGAATTGTGTTGATCTGCCAAGATTTATGAACCTGACTGTAGATTTGAAAATAGCAGGACATCAAACAAATATGGTGACCAGCCTGCATTTTCCCTCCTTTTTGCCTAGCTTATTTTTAACATACGGAACAGTATGTTTAATATTCCATATCTTCTTTTTAATTCAAGGTGCTGACATGGATGTGTGCCTTCCGAACTACGGTCATTGCAACTTCATATCGGGGAAACACGCCTGTATATTCTACGATGAGGTAAGTAAGGCAAGTGGCTTTCATGATTCATGTTCATGCACGAGGGGATAAATGTGGTTTTGACTGGTACGCTTGTAGAACACCAAGCATTACGAGTTGCTGAACTACAGTGAGCATGGCACAACAGTGGACAACGTCCTCTACTCCTGTGACTTCTCTGAGAAAGCCTCACCGTCTCCACCCAGTGGCCTAGTGGCGAAAGTCCAAGGCATCATTCGTAAGTTCTTTGACCTTATTCACGAAGTGAGGGCCCTTTGGCAAAGGACTTCATGTTGTTTCGTTTTTTTGACTTGCAAAATAATGAGACTTGATTCAGACATATTAGTTGGATTCAAGATGAGATGCGACTCTTTGTGATCCAAGAGATCCAAGATGGCACTGTAGTTGGCAGCAGTTGTTGGCAAGTGCTCTTAAAGAATCCCCCACCCCCCACATGGTGTTTGTTGTTACTTCGTGTGGACCCGATGTGGACTGTTTTCAGCGTTTTTCTGGCCATGACATTTGTCAAAGGAGAAGAATCTGTGCTGAGTGGTTGCACCTTCTCGGCAGCACATGTGCACCAGCACTGATTTTGATTGGGAGGAATGTCAGCGCTATTTGACTGTCGATGGAGCGTGGATGCTGTTGGGGGAAGAGGAGGCCGCTCTTCCCCCAACAAGCGTATTTGGAACTGAGAGTCGCCACTTAAAAATTGAAATGGATTTATATGGGACAGGAGAAGTCAACCAATCTCTTTTTTTGTCAATGGACGCGACAGCTTCTCGTTTACTTTTAAACTCGGCTTGTAGCAGACGTGTGCACATTTTGAGCATGATGAGGTCTCTGATTTACTGGTGAAAGGTCACTTTGATTCTCTCCTCTTTCATCTCAAAGTGCTTCAAACAACAAAGCATATGCAGGATAAGTGGTTAAGATTGCATGACTGTCCGTGTTGTATGTCGTGTGTTTTATTATTTTTGTTATTTTATGTCAACTGTTTGTTCGCTTTGTTACAGCTGAAAGCCATTGTGAAAGCGCAAGATAAATAAAGACGTATTGCATCGACGCTTTGCTTCAGTTTTGCAGAAATGCGAAGAGATCTGGCGTCCCACCCCCTCATCTTTTATTTGTATTTCTTTCTTTCTTTCTTTCTTTCTTTCTTTCTTTCTTTCTTTCTTTCTTTTAATCTCCTAGGTCGCAGCAAGAAGTGGACAGATGAAGAGGGTCCCGCGTCTGTGGTGGGATTGCTCCCAGCCGGCGGAGTGATGAGCAGCCACCCGCAAGGTGGCTTGGAGCAGTTGTGCAGCTGCAAGGCAAGCAGCTCAAGCTTAATTGGAGGCAGCGGAGCAGGCTGGGAGGGCACGGCCATGCTCCACCATGGGAGCTACATAAAACTGGGCTGCCTCCAGTTTGTGTTCAGCATCACAGAGTTTGCCAGTAAGCAGCCGAAGGAGGAAGACAGTACAGCGCCTGCGACCGGTTGCACCAGCGGCAGCGCTTTGAGCCTCGCACAGACCACAATTGCACCACCTCCTCGCGACACTGCCACAGCCAGCAGCCCCTCCAGCCAGGATGAGATGGAGCCAGCGCCTTCCGACCAAGTGCTCACTCTGTAGTCACCACCACAAACGGACTTCCCCCCCCCCCCCCCCCCTTGTTTTCGTTTCGCACCTTCTATGACACAAAGTAATGGTAAAGCTGCACAGTTGGCTGGCGGGCAGGGAAAATGATTTTGTTTTTTAGGTCATTGTTAATGATTTATATATTTGCATGAACATGGGAGTATAATTGACAATCGTGTCTATTTTTTTGAATGACTGACATCTGTTCATGTTAGACCGACTTTGAGCAAAGCGTCTTAGTCTATGCTCAGTTATTTTGCCAGTATATTATGTATGATGTAAACTTACTTTGTCAGTCTGTCTGTCTGTCTGTCTGTTTAGCACAAACGTCTAATTTTGTTGTTTTGACTTACATGCATTCTATATCCAGCTGCCTGTGTGCTCTGTTTGTATGGCAAAGTACACTACTTTTCACAACTTTGGGGCCATCCAGAAATGTCCTTATTCAAATAAAGAAATAAAGCGCAATCTTCATGCAGGACCATCAAAATGTTTGGGGGTGACGGGGTCACTTAGAAAGGTCGTTATTTTTAAATGGCATCAACATTGAATTGATCAGATATACAGGCTTGACATTTTTAATGTGGTTTAATGGAAAAAAAGCTGTTCTCTTTCAAAAATAACGACTTGTCCAAGTGACCGCCAAACTTTTGATGTGTGTTTGTGTGTGTATATATATATGTCTATATGTATGTTATATTTATAAATGTATATAGTTATATAGAATACTGTGTGTGTGTGTGTGTGTGTGTGTATATAGATATCTATATAGACTACTCTACCATTGAGCCATCCCACCAAACGCACGCACGCACGCACGCACGCGCACACACGCACACACACACACACACATAAAATCATGGCATTGGATGGGTGACTCCGGGGCTTTGAATGGTGGTGTACACGCTCATACGCTCTATGTACATCTTCTGTAAATATGTATGATTCAGTGCCTCTCAATTGGAGGAGCATTGTATGTCATTTAGATTCTCCGTGTTTTGGCTTTTAACTGTACAGCCCATGAAATTTGTGATACTGTGTAGACGACCAGAGATTTTGTGATAAACCTTGTTCATAGTCTGTACTCTGCTATCATCTATCTGCACTATGCGGTGGTTTTAGCACTCATTTTAACATCATGTGCTGCTCTGTATATAAGCGCTCTTTTTCTGTAGCTTCTCATCTCATAACTGTAAATACATAAAGATTTTCTAAGTACAAGCTCACTGTATCTGTTGTGACCCTGCCTCCCATCCCCACTGCACCCAAAGATCTTCACTCCTGAGGATCATAACTGGGACCCAATGATTGCAGATGAAAATGTTCAAAGGAGTTAAGCATTTCAAATCATATCCATTTAAATCTTTTTTGCCGAACATGGAGCATTAATTCCCCAAACAGTTGACCCTCCTATACCCCTTTAGATGTGTGAGCACATATGTATACACACACACACTCACACTGCCCTTAAGGCGTGTTCTTCAGCTTTGAATATTTTTAATTTTTCGAAATAATATAGGGCCAAATGTTTAAAAAGGAGGAAAATCCTACCTCAAATTTAAGTGCATTTTCTCAATAGAGGAGAAAGTGCCACATTGATAAATCTTTCTTTTACGTCTAATCATGTGTCACAATTACTAGCCCCTCCTGATATTTATACTTTGTACAAACCCCCTTGAACCACTTTTCGACAATGTTACACAAGATGGAAGAATACATCAAGAAGGTTCTTCGACCATTCCTTTTTTGCAGTTTGTCAAATCAACCAGCGACCTGAGTCCTCCCCTCTGCACTTTTCTTTTAGCCCCTTCCATGAGTTCAATGGGGTTGAGGTCTGGGTATTGAGATGACCATGGGAGGAGCTTGATTCTGTGTCTGGTGAACCATGTTGACAATTTTCAGTATGAGAGTATGCTTCTGCAATTTAAAAAAAGAATGCAGACATTTTTAGGCTTATGACACATTTTAAGCAGGGGCGCCCAAAATTATTGAAGGGCACTATGTACAGTACTCTCCAAAAGTATTGGAATGGTAAGATTTGTTAAAAGATGAATATCACACAAAAGTTTTATTTAATCTAGATGCGTTAACTCAGGATCGAGCACCTTTTGTTTGAAGCCACCCACTTTTCTCTTCAGATCACCCCACAAATGTTTGATCAAATTCAGGCCTGCACTGGAGTTGGCTCATTCCAAAACGTTTATCTTCTTCTGGTGAAACCGTTGTTTTGTCAATTTAGATATAATAATAATAATAATGTGTCAGATATAATGGTGCTTTACTGGACAATATGTGCTTTGGGTCATTGTCATACTGAAAGATGAGGTTCCTCTTGAGCGTTCCAAGTTATGTGTGTTACTGACACGTATTTGGAACTGTTCATAATTCCTTCCACCTTGACTAAGGCCCCAGTTCCATCCATCCATCCATTCATTTTCTGATCCACTTATCCTCACAATGGTCGTGGGCTGGAGCCTATCCCACCTGTCCTTGGACAGGAGGCGGGGCTACACCCTGAACTGGTTGCCAGCCAATCGCAGGGGACACATAGACAAACAACCATCCACTCACACCCCGGGACAATTTAGAGTGTTCCATTAACCTGCCATGCATGTTTTTGGAATGTGGGAGGAAACCGGAGTACCCTGAGAAAACCCACACAGGCACAAGGAGATCATGAAAACTTCACACAGGAAGGCCGGAGCAAGAATTGAACTCTGCAGCTCTGCACTGTGAGGCTGACGTGCAAATGAATCGACCACCTTCTAGTTCCTCTCAATGCAAAGCATCAATGGCTTGACTCTGAGCACCTCCCGGATGACTGAGCTTCTCACCTTATCTCTACACAGGAGCTCGGACACCCTGTAAAGGAAACTCATTTTAGCCACTTTTATCCTGATCATATTTTTTTAGACATGACTCACAGTTCATGACCATAGCTGAGGGTACGAACGTAGATCGACCGGTAAATCGAGAGCTTCCCCTTCTGCTCAGCTCCCTCTTCGTCACGACCAACCAATAAAGAGTCCGCGTCACTGCAGACACTGCACTGATCCACCTGTCCATCTCACATTCCATCATCCCTTCATTCGTGAAAACCCCAAGAAACCTGACCTCCTCCACTTAAGGCAGAATCTCATCGACGACCTGGAAAAGGCACTCCACACTTTTGGCAACTGAAGACCATGGGCTCCGATTTGGTGCTCCTGATTCTCATCCCAACCACTTCACACTCGGCTGCGAAGATCACGGCTTGAAGAAACAACCGTAGCACATCATCTGATTAAACAAAAAACAACAACAGGCCTACATTTGTCTAGCACTCAAACAGTAAGCTGTCAACAAAATGTCACATTGCTGTATTACTATGATGATTTCACATGACATTTGTTTCCACAATAAAATCACTTGGTAGACAAAATTGGGGAATTAAGTTTTGTTTTACTCAATTACATGGAAAACTAAAATCTACTTTCCGCAAGTGCTGATTAAATAACGAGCAGCAGTGAATTTCTCGACCTTCCCATCCTGACAGAACCCCGAAATTCAGCTGGGATAGGCTGCAATCGTTGGACATTTGCACCACTAGATGGCACACTTTCCTAAAGTACAGTACATGACATTTAAAATGTCAAGCACTGAGCATGTTTTTTTGTCAAACCTTTTCCATGATACTGTAAATGACCCTTTTATTCCATTGTTAATGTGTTTTATTTTGTGTGTTATAAATATGTAAAAAGAGATCATTTGATCAAAGAGTGCAAGTGAAACGAAAAGGTTTTCAGAGCTAGTTCAATGTTATTTCCAGCAGTGTCACTCAGAACCCCCAAGAATATCCTCAAAGCCCTCAAAATAATTTGGTGGGTTTTTTTTGTTTTTCTTTTTATTGAAAAAATTATATCTATCTATCTATCTATATATATATCTATAGTATAGATATATCTATCTATCTATATCTATATAGATAGAGAGAGAGAGAGAGAGAGAGAGAGAGAGAGAGAGAGAGAGAGAGAGAGAGAGAGAGAGAGAGATCTAGATAGATATAGGTATAGATATATATGTGTATATATATGATCAAATTGTTTGAAACAGTGGTCACGATTCGGTGCTCACTGTAGAGAATACACCTTATCCTTATATCCATTATGTGAACCTCATGAGGGTTGGAGCCTATCCTCCCAGCTGACTTTGGGGAGGAGGCCGGGTACACCCTGAACTGGTTGCCCAGATAAAACTCACGAGGTGCATGGGGACAACATGCAAGCTCTACACAGGAGCTTGCATGTTCAAGGTCGCAGGTTGCAGTCAGAAGGTCGGGGCCCGTACTCGCACCCATGTGGCAAAAAAAAATATATACTCATACACACACACACACACACACACACACACACACACACACACACACGGGTGTGTGTGTGTGTATTATTTATTTTTCATAAGGTAGTTGTTGCTCAGGCACTGATGATATAACAATAAGAAGAAAATAATGAAAATATCAATTCAAAGACTTTTCAAATTAAAATATCCAAGAGCTCCTTTACATTGGCATTCAGCATGTAGTCGGTGCAAAGTAAAGCTGTGCGATGCCTGAAATATTGGTATCGAGCGATACCAAGTAAACACTGGAGCCAGTATAGCCTGAAGCAATACCGCTACAGGTACCAAGTACTTTTAGGTTTCTAAAATATCGTAATTTAAATCCATCCATTATCTGATCCGCTTGTCCTCACAAGGATCCCGGGCATGCTGGAGTATATTCTAGCTGCCTTCCAGCAGGAGGCAGGGGACACCCTGAACCGGCCGCCAGCCAATCACAGGGCACATAGAGACGAACAACCTTCCAAACTCGCACTCACATTTCGGGACAATTTAGAGTGTTCAATCAGCCTACCATGCATGTTTTTGGAATGTGGGAGGAAACCGGTGAAAACACAAGCAGGCCCGGGGAGAACTTGCAAACTCCACACAGAGAGACTAAAATCAAACCCATGGCCGCTGCACATGCTAACCAGTCGCCCACCGTGCTGCCCGTATCTTAAATTATTTATCCCACTGATTAAATAGCATGTTGTAACAACATTAAATGTATTTATTGGATTCATAATGATGCCACAAAAAAATATTCTCACTGGAAACATACCTGGACTCTTGATGTAAATCGTACATGTAGTCGTAATCTGTGGAACCAGTGTCATGGGCGACAAGTGTGTCTCATTCAGCTATGCATGCATGCGATAAAGGGCATGCGCGAGGAATCCATGAGAACCCAAAAAGAAATCAATAGAAAGGATCGATACAAACTCTTTGGTATCAATTTGATACCAAAACCACATAAGTATCAATTCGATTGATACTTGGATCGACATGCAGAGCCGGGTTTTAGGCCTTCCTTGTCGCACAGTCCACATGCTGTTTGTTGATGAGAGAGAGGGGCAAGATTGAAGCTTCCAGTATGTCTCCGATATTTCCTGCTTAGTGAATGACCACATCCAAAATGCTGCAATATCGGAAATGGTCCAGCACAACGCAAAACAGTGGAGAGGGTAAAATAAGGAGGAAAGTAATGAAGCTGTTGGCTGCCAACTCACAGGCGCCAATTTGAAGTTTTAAAAAAATGTAACAATGTTTACATCTTGGCAATTTTTTTGTGTTCAGGTTGCTATGTTGCTATTTTAGTATACGTATTCACTGGTAGGATTTGATTTATTGAGAAATCTGACACGGCAAGATGGCACCAGCCACCCACAGTGATCAAGAGCATATTAAGGTTATTCAATTAAACTGATGATCTCGGCGGGCACAATTCAGTTAGCAAAACCAAAACAAGTTGTTGTCTTTTTAATCTGGACGAGAAGGCTTCTGTGTCAGGAGCATTCAAGCAATAACAACAAAACAACGTTATACTGAATTCCCATTCACTTGGGAATGAATTTATGCAAGACCACACATTCGCTCAGTGATTTCCCACAGCTTCTTAGCTGCACCGTCATCCTTTGCTTTCGAATAGACTTCTCGCACTGTACAGTTGGAGAAGTAACGTCCACTGAGTGGTTCAATTCCCTCCTGCAGAGCACAGTGCAGTGTGGTCTGGCATCCCTGGACAGTGTTTTTGAAGAAGAAGGTGGTGATGGGCTTCATGATGATATGGGTCAATGTGCTGGCATTCCTGGCCAACTCAGAGTTGATAGCTCCTGCGGGGAGAAAACACGAGAAAATGTTTTGCAGACACACAAGCACATGGCAACATGCAGTGGGGCAGCGGTGGCTCAATTCGGTGCATACATTGTAAATAAATAAATAAATAAATACCTTTTAGGTTTAATCAAATTACACGACAGAGTTTCAGTATAACCAAAAAGGGTCTTGTGTCTCATGTCAATGAGTGTCATTGAAAGGCTGAACATGTTCAGCTGACATTCCAGGGACTGATAGCATCTGGTCCTAAGCCCTTCAGGGTTATCTTGTCTGACTACTTTTGTCACTTGACACAACCGCCACTGCATCAAGGAATACAAAACGTCTTCTGTATCGTAACGAGCACACATAACAAGTGTCACGCTCCATTATCATTACCCTTTTACAAATACACACACACACACACACACACACACACACACACACACACACACATATATATATGTGTGTCTGAGACAACCAGAACAGTTTAGGTGCGATGGACTCAATGCACTGAGAATGAAGTGACCTGGATGAATGAGAATAGTCGCAGCCATGCTCTGGGTCACACATACATGTGTGTGTGTGTGTGTGTGTGTGTGTGTGTGTGTGTGTGTGTGTGTGTGTGTGTGTGTGCGTGCGTGTGTATAAAAATCATCCATTCAGTAGGCAGGGTAAACCCTGAAGTTGTTGCTAGCCAATCGCTGGGCACACGTAGACCAACAACGATACCCGGGGGAGTGTGTGTGCGCGTGTGTATAAAAATCATCCATTCAGTAGGCAGGGTAAACCCTGAAGTTGTTGCCAGCCAATCGCTGGGCACACGTAGACCAACGATACCCGGGGGGAAAAAAAAACACACAGGCACGTGGAGAACCTGCAACTTCTACACGGGAAAGTCGGAGCCAAAATCGAACCTCTGCACTGTGAAAGGCTGACGTGCTACATATATCTATCTATACTGTATCTATCTATCTCTCTCTCTCTCTCTCTCTCTCTCTCTCTCTCTCTCTCTCTCTCTCTCTCTCAGATAGATAGATAGATAGATAGATAGATAGATAGATAGATAGATAGATAGATAGATAGATAGATAGATAGATAGATAGATAGATAGATAGATAGATAGATATAAATACATACAGATATACTGTATATAGATATAAAATGTTTGTCTCTATGTGCCCTGCGTGGTTAGATCCCATGGAGAAGGTTGGCAACCAGTTGAGGGTTTACCCTGCCTACTGCCTGCCCGAAGAGAGCTGGGATAGGCTCCAGCACACCCGCGCCTCTTGTGAGGATAAGCGGTTTATAAAATTGGATGGATGGATGGAGGGATATCTCTCATCAGAATGAACTATTATGTTCTCACTACTGACCTGGATGGAGGGAGTAGCATGTGACTTTGGTTCCTTGCAGTCTCTTGGCCAACTCGTGAGTGAAAAGGACATTGCACAGCTTGCTGTCAGAGTAGATTTGAAGGACCTCCAAGAACGATGTCCCCAGTCCCAGAGCTCTGTGATTAGTTAGGCATTCAAAGTCGATTTTTCCAAAGTTATGTGCCAGGGATGACACATTGACCACTCGACTTGGTTGACACTCCTTCAGTCGGTCCAGCAAAAGGTTGGTTAGGAGGAAGTGGCCAACATGATTGATGCCAAACATCATGCCGAAACCATCCTCTGTTCGACCCTGCATATAAATTCCTAGGACAGAAACAGCAGTGCAGTACGTTTTCCTCTTTATCAGAATTTGCACAACAATTTAAAACATACAATCAAGTAAATATAATTTGCTTGATTGGTGGACAATTATATTTTCAGTCTCAAAGAGAAATGCAATGTTATATTTGATTGGATTCTCATAATGTTATTTCATATTTTAAAGGTGTTTGATGTCTACTATCTATTTTGACAATTCATGTCAATACGCTTCACAGTCATAATTGCTTGTGTCTTTTTGCGGTGCCAGTTTCAACTGAGTAATAGGGGGTCTCTGGCTCATTTAGTCTCATCCCAGCTTGGACAAGAGGCGAAAGTCTGAGACAACCAGAACAGCTTTGGTGTGATAGACTCTATGCACTGAGAATGAAGTGACCTGGATGAATGAGAATAGTCGCAGCCATGCTCTGGGTCACTATGAATGGTATTCAGGACCCTATGCCAGGCAATTTAATTCAAATTCATGCATGTGGCGAAAGGTGACAAAGAACCTAAATTCTGTGCAGACACAAGAGAAAAACGGAAGCCGAAAAACACAAAAGGGAATCCAGACGGCACGTTTCTTGTTGGGTGAAAACAAGATTGGGTTCTCTGGCATGAATTCTGAACTGGATGATGAATAATAAACGGGGATATGCGGCCAAGAAATGCTTTTCACAAAAAACGGGGGTTGCCCTCCTCCAAATCCCAAAAATAATAATCATTTGAAAAAAAAAACAACATCTGCAAATTGTGGATGCTGAACAGCTAGTATGCACGGGTCCACTGTATATCTTAAATCGGAATAATTTAGAAACCAATACCCATGAACAGATTTACTGTACAAATCTGACAGAAAGGTTAGATTTTTTTTAATAACCAAGAGCTGGCGCTTCGTTCCAGGTTCACAACAAAAGAGCAAAAGAGACACATCCACGGTGACAACCCTGAACAGCATGGGAGTGCAACGAATGCTCTTACCTGCATTGTTGATGAGAATGTCTAGTCTGGGTTCACTTCTCAGATAGTTTTCGGCAAAGCTGCGAACAGACTTCAGGTTCCCCAGATCCAATTGCATGAACACGACCTGATTGCTGCCACTCTCCTTTCAGCGCCGATAAACAGGTTAAATCATTGAAGATGCATCATCAAGACCATTCCTACAAACTTTGTCTGCAAAACAAAGCTTGAGAGATTTTTCTTACCCTCTTGACATCTGCAAGAGCAGCCTCTCCTCGTTGACGACTACGACAAGCCAGAATGACTCTGGCTCCTCTTTTAGCCAAGTCGATCGCTGTAGTTTTTCCAATGCCCGTGTTGCTACCTTGGGATGACAGAACAACATGATAATCATTCCTACTCGAGCAAAATTGTGTTAGTTGAATTGTGAATTCAATGTAAAATTTGCTGTCAGTCAGGATTAGTTCGGAAAAAAAAAGCATTTGTAATTTTTATGAGATTCAAGCAAAAAAAAAAAAAGTGACGGGATAGAGTGGGGGTCGGCAACACGTGGCTCCCGAGACGTATGTGGCTCTTTAGCGCCCCCCCCCACCCCCCAGTGGCTCCCTAGAGGTTTTTCAAAAATGTTTGAAAATGGAAAAAGATGGGAGGGAAATATATTTTTTTGTTTTAATATGGTTTCTGTCAGAGGACAAACATGACCCAAACATTAACGTTTTCCGATGCTATGAAAATGCGTTGAATAAATATTAAATGTCAACATTTTGCTAACAAATATTTGCGTCATAGCCTGCGACACACGTTTCTATTAGCAGGGCGGCATGTCAGTCAGGGGGCTGTTGTAAAAAAAACAAAAACAAAAAAAAACGCTGCCTTTCATGTACAATTCACCGAGGGTACAGTCCTTGCTAAGACTGGGAATCTGGGCGGCCAAGAGAAGCATTTTTAAACGGTACATGTGAGCTACGACAGTTAGCATGCTGCGAAAGTTCGTCCCATGCCTCGTTCATCTTAGCGGCCGTTATGGCTGTTGCTCATTACGGCATGCGTGTGTAAGTGTGTGCGTATGCGCGCGTGTGCGGTAACGGGTCAATCACGGGAGGTTGGTTGTTCGAAAAGTAGATCTTCCGTCAAAAAGTTTGGGCACCCCTCCTCTACGAGATGAACTGCAGTGGGAAAAAAACTTTTAATCATGAATGCTCGTTTTTCTATTTGTAGCCAACTTAGTCATGTTGATAGCAGGCTAATATAGCTCATATAGATACATACAGCATGTGTTGCCTTCATTATAAGGCTTTTTATTTTTTGCGGCTCCAGACATCTTTGTTTTTTGTTTATTTTGGTCCAATATGGCTCTTTCAACATTTTGGGTTGCCGACCCCTGGGATAGAGGGAGTGCGGCACGGTGGTTAATTGGTTAGTACATCCGCCTCACTGTGTGGAGGTCTGGGGTTCGATTCCGGTTTGCATGCTCTCCCTGTGCCTGCGTGAGCTTTCTCCACATACTCCAGTTTCCTCCCATATTTCAAAACCATGCAGTGTAGATTAATGGAACAGGTTGTATTTGGTCTACCGGTATATTGTCCCAAGGTGTGAGTGTGAATGGTTGTTTGTCTATGTGTGCCCTCCGATTGGCTGCCAACCGGTTCAGGGTGTCGCCCGCCAACTGCCAAAAGTCAGCTGGGATCAGCTCCAGCATGCCCACGACCCACGTGAGCCTAAGCAGCTTGGATGGATGGATGGATAGTAAAAAGGGAAAGCAAGAACTGTTTGGAACTCAGCATTTGTAGTCCAAGTCATATCCTAACTCTCCATAATTTGTCTTGGGTTGCTTTTTCACCTGCTGTTTGATTAGAGAAAATAAATAACTTAACATTAGCCCTTCCACACTGAAAAGACAAATTTTGGAGCCGTTGGATTTATTTAATTTGGACATGTACACTGGTTGCAAATGATTAAAATGTGTTAAACTAACATATCCTTTGAATATTTTCAATGAAAACATTACAAAATTACACCGGTTTACCACATTTTCATCATGTACAACCAAAAGTTAAGTACTTCTTTTTTCCAGGTCATAGTCTGAAAGTAGCAACATTTATTTTTTCAACATTAATACAAAATGAAAACACATTTGAATTGTAAACCCTGATTGACAGTGGAAGTAACTTCTGCAGTCCCAGTTGAAGCCAAAGTAAAATATATTCTTACCAGTCACGATCACGGTCTTCCCATTCAGCTTTGCTTTGCTCGTGCACTGCTTTCCCTTCACCACAACCTGACGGTAAATGTAAGCAGCCCCGACAACTACACCCAAAACCAGCAAGGCAATAAACATGTTGCTGTTGTTGTTTGAGAGACTACAAGAAGAATAAATGTTAGAACTTGAGTTGGCAAAGAACTTCCTTTGCTCGGATACGTTAAGAAGACTGACTTGTCTCAAATGTTCAAACAAACACACCCATTTCCTGCCTGGGCGTGACAATGTTTTCCTTGTTTGCAACCCACAGCAGACTGGAAGGACCAGAAATCAGCAACAGACAATAAAGCAATGTCAACAAGTTTAGGGTCACGAGATGAAAGGTGAGTTTGTTTGTCACAAGGGCTCGGCTTGGATGAGAAAGAAAGATTCATTGTTTTTATCTCAAAAGGCAATGGAAATTCAAAATAATACTTTTCTTCAGATGGAATAGGGGCCTTAGTCAAGGTGGAGGGAATCATGAACAGTTCCAAATACCTCTCAGTCACACGTAACTTTCTGCTACAATGCTCAAGAGGAACTTCATCTTTCAGCATAAAACACAGAACATATCCATCCATCCATCCATCCATGCATTTTGTGATTCGCTTATCCACACACGGGTCGAGGGGGGGTGGGCGGGGCTGGAGCCTATCCCAGCAGTCTTCGGGCAGTAGGCGGGGGACACCCTGAATCGGTTGCCAGCCAATCACAGGGCACTCAGAGACGAACAACCATTTGCACTCACACACACGGCTAGGGACAATTTTTAGTGTTCAATTAGCCTGCCATGCATGTTTTTGGAATGTTGGAGGAAACAGGAGTACCCGGAGAAAACCCACGCAGGCCTGGGGAGAACATGCAAACTCCACACAGGAAGGCCGGAGCCAGGATCAAACCCACGACCTCTGCACTGTGAAGTCGACACCCTAACCCAGGGGTCGGAAACCCAAAATGTTGAAAGAGCCATATAGGACAAAAAAACAAAAAACAAATATATCCGGAGCCGCAACAAAATAAAAGCCTTTTATAAAACTTACAATGAAGGAAACACATGCTGTATGTATGTAGGAGACTGGACTGTCTCAGAATTGTTTATGTTATTCATTCCTTTGTTGTGTGTTCACAAACGCTCCCATAGAATTTATTTAGTGATTTCCTCGCTTGATTTTCTGTTTTGGTGTGTTATTTTCGCTTTTCTTAGTGTCGTTGAAGTGATCATTAATTTCCGTTTTTCGGAGGCTGTCTTTGAACGCCTCTCGAGTCGAACGAGAGGAGAGAAGGCACGGAATCGGACGTAGACTTGTCTGTTTGTTGAGACTATTAAAAGCATAAATAAAGGGCACATTTCAAAAAAAAAAAAAAAACAACACCACAGCTCTCCTTTTGTCGGAGTTACAACATACAGTATAGCTATATGAGCTATATTAGCCGACTATCAAAATAACGAAGTTTGCTACAATTATACGATGAGCCTTCATGATTATTTTTTTTTCTTCCATGCAGTGCATTCTGTAGAGCAGGGGTGCCCAACCTTTTTTGACTGAAGATCTACTTTTCGTTCAACCAACTTACCGCGATTGACCAATTCACAACACACTTACAGACGCATGCCGACCTACTTGGTTGAGATCTGACGCGGAGGCATGGGACACACTTTTTCAGCGTTTTTGACTATCGTAGCTCACGTGTACCGTTTTAAAAACGCTTCACGGCCCTCCAGATTCTCTTTGCCAGTACCTTCGGTGAATTGTACATGAAACACCATTTTTTTAAATTTTATTAAAAAAAATTTTTTTTTGCAACAGCAGCAATCTGCCTTGCATCATGCCCTGCTAATAGAAAGGGATGTCGCAGGCTATGACGCAAATCTTCGTTGACAGAAACGTTGAAATGTAATATTTATTCTACACATTTTTACAGCATTGGGAAACGTTAAGAATGTTTGTGTAATGTTTTTACTCCTACAGAAACCATATTTAAAACAAACAAAAATAATTTCCTCCCACATCTTTTCCCATTTTCAAACATTTTTATAAAGCTCCAGTAAGCCACTAGATGGCGCTAAAGATCTGCGTGTTGCCAACCCCTACCCTAGACATCATTTTGGATGACTACACTTGGTTCGATGACAACACTGGAGACGTTTTATTTTCGCTAGGTCGCTACCACTGCACTGCTGAACTTTCGTTGTCAAGTCACTGCCTCTGCGCACTGTCACTGTCAGACGAACACATATAAGCTCCACCCGCTTTATTTATATGGACACGGAACACTGTAACCTTCCACACAAAATTGTTCCAAACAAGTAACAATCGCATCAGTGGCATACATAGTATTCAACAGGCTGCCTGCTCTTTATTCACCAGAGGCTCATCAACCTAGTCTCTTATTTCTCTCCCGAAACAGTGTCTTCTCCCGCTTGGTATACCTTAGCCTTCTCCGCTAAGTACAATCTCTACACAGCTTGTAATGGAGGCTTGATCTTGCTGGCAATCTGTCCTGGAGTCGTTAGATGCAATGCGAATGATTTCACCTTGAGTCGAGCTGTGGACAATGTTGACAGGCTTGCATGCAATATCCATACATTTAGCTATGGCTTCAGCAAATTTGTTCTTCGTCGCGTCATCCATTTTCTTCGCTTTGAAATGATCCATAGCTGTCTGTCTAAGACGAGGGGGCGGAGTACTCACATCAGCTGTGTGCTTGGCCGTTAAGTGGTATTTCAGACTCACGTGCTACGATGATAGCTCAGTTTACGACTGCAAAACATACAGGTAACTTTGGTCTTGTCAGTGGAGCAATCTGGCAACTTTTTAAAAGTAAACTTTCCATTCATAAACTCTTTAAGTATCCGTTTTCGGTGTCTCGCACTGCCGTGGCTGGCAAAACATAGATAGATAGATAGATAGATAGATAGATAGATATATAGATATATATCTATAGATAGATAGATAGATAGATAGATAGATCTAAAAGAGGTGTCAATTTATCGCATTAATTGTGAATAATTAATTACAGTCATATTTAGCGTGTTATGTTTTTAATCGCGTTAATCTAATTTTTAATCTCTAACTTTATTGTTTCTGCAGGTGGGTTGCCTTTTTACTGTACCCCTTTTCATGTGCTGGCTTCCTGTGTTCGAGTGTTGAGTGTGGGAAAACAACTGTCAGTCACAGCCTGAAAGCTGTTTGGGCTTGTTCAGCATAAACTGATTGGCTCCCATTGGAGTTGTGCGGCTAAGTAAGCAGCAATGAGGAGAGGAGAGGTTAACATGGAGGAGCATGTGAGAGTTCTCGGCACAATGAATGGAAAATGTACTTTTCAAAAACGCCCTGACGGCACTATTGATAAAAGTAGAGCGTTGTGCCTAATTTGTCAGGAGTTTGCTGACCACCGAAGCTCAAGTTTAGCCTCCCACATTAATACAAAGCACCCAGTCGCGAATGCATCCACAGCTAACGTTAGCACCGAAAGCGTTAGCAATATAGCGAGCTAAAGCAAAGCTCTTGGCCAAACTAAACTCCAGGGGAACACCCCGCGTACGTGGCATTAAGTCAGCATAGTTGCTGTGTCCTCAGTAGCCGACTAGAAGTGGTTGATGTTTATTTCAGCACTTTATTTTCTCATGATGAACAGTGTTATATCTGAAGTGCGAGCTTACAGCACTGTGATTTAAGGGTCTTTTATTATCCGAAGCAAGTTCAGTATTGAGTACTTATATTGCTCAGAAAAATGTTCTTACTGTAGCTCAGTGGTTACTTCATCAAGAATCAATCCTGACGCAGAATTCGCATCTTCTCCATCCCAAACTGGGATCGAACCACGGGCGCAATCCAGTGTTTTCTTTTTCATTCTGAGACCAAAATTGCCTTGTAAATAAATGACTCGCCTACAAGTGTTATTAAATCTTGGTTGGGGACATCTTCTCACCTCGATACTGATTTCTGTCTCCCTCACTAATGTGTATTATGTCGAGGAAAAATATTGCTGACACGTGTGCGGATTCATGTTCACCACCAGGTGACGTGGGAACGTCGAGTGTTGGCTGAAAGTGCCGTTCAAACTTCGTTGTCGTCCAGTGTCCTTATTTTAATTTTTTTCCCTCCCTGCAAATAGAGTTTTCCTAAACTAACCATTTTTCACCGATGGTAGCCGCACTGGTGTAGCTCAGTGGTTACTTCATCAAGAATCAATTCTGACACAGAATTTGCATCTTCTCCATCCCGAACTGGGATCGAACCACGGGCGCAATCCAGTGTTTTCTTTTCCTTGCTTTTTCATTCTGAGACCAATATTACCTTGTAAATTAATTACTCGGCTACAAGTGTCATTAAATCTTGGTTGGGGACATCTTCTCACCTCGATACTGATTTCTGTCTCCCTCACTAATGTGTATTATGTCGAGAAAAAATATTGCTGACAC